CATTGCATAATTCTATCACACAAAGGAATTAATAACATGATTTAAGTAGGTCAATAAAATATACATAGTACAAGTTAAAATTAATAATTACAATACAGTTCAAATTGATTGATTGTTCCCATCCATCCTTCCAAAGGAACGCCCTTGAGGGAACTTTCTTCGAATTGCCACCAACAACAACTTTGGACTAAGCATCAGACTGATCTGATTTCGGTGGGTCAAATGCACACAGATGCTGAGTGATGACATTTTATATCCAAAAGGTCAACTTCCTGTGAAATAATAATGTTCTGCAATGACAAATTGTCTGGCTTGATATTCAATTCAGCGGCCAGATGAATGTGTGGATGTTACCACAGGAACATTTATAAAAAAAAGAATAGCCCCGTGAAAACATTTTCCGTGAGTTAACCTTAAACCATATAGGGACATTATTTGAAATAATAAACATCCTCAAAAGGTTCTTGAACATCAGATGAAAACGTTTTCGTTAAAACATTATTAGAACCTGTAGGTAACGTTAGGCCAAAGTTGTGAGAACTGGTCTTCTCTGTGTGAAGACGTCTTTATTGATCAATCATCGCATCATCAAAACAATGAGTCCAACTAATCACTCGAAAGGAAGAAACGCACAGGAAAAGTCTGTTTAAAATGCATCTGGAGTGGCTGTATAGAAACAAATGAAGTTCTCTGCTCTCTGCCCCAGTACTACAGGAAGGTACTGAGTGGTACTCTGTGCACACGGGTGGATTCTACCTGCGCGTGGCATGCACCCTAAAAAATAGCCTTGCCAACCCCAGCTTGGAATCGTTGTTTTCTTGAAAGAAAAGTTGTGGCTCATCCGACATTTATGAGGAAAGTCTCTATATGCCGGAGGCTGCAGTGCACAATGCAGCCAGCGCGAGGTTTGTAACCCGGCCCTGGCGCGAGCCTTGGCAAATATGATTGGTGGCGATTCATTTTTGACGGGACGCGCAAAACGAGAAGATTCGGACCCAAGTAGACGGGTGGGTATTTGCGCTCTACAATGACACGAGAAGAGACTGTCAAGTTTGGCCTTACTGAGCATTGAATCAAACACTCTAAATCTGTTGCAATCTTAATCAGTTTGTGTGCGTTTTGCACTGAACAAGATGGCTAATCGGCGCATTCAGCTGGTATGGCATGCAGAGCCCGCGGGAAGTATTTTGAGTCCGGGGTGGACCAAGCCCAGGTAAGTGCCAGCGGACCTCGATGAAAATATTCGTGGTGGCCAAACGCTCGGTTACTTACACTTTCCGTTTGGGTTGCCAGGCCCGGAAACACTTTCCCATTGACTTACATGGGGGAAGAGTGGGTCTGTAAATCGTTGGTGTAATTTTATCTATCACTTGACATAAAACTACGTGTCTATGCCACACTTTTATATGAGCACCTTAGTTAGGACTAATACGGTTTGCGCTGTGGACCTACAGTTGTAAATTGACGGAAGGGCGTAGAATAACGTTAACAGCTGCATTAAACAGTTATCCCTAGATAACAGAATTAATGATCAGATAGCCATCTAACCCATGGTAACATGAAACGTTGTATAGACGCACGTTCATGAAGTAATCGTCTTCATCACTAGCATACTGTTCATGTTGCCATGCACTGCAACATATAATCTGAAATCACGACTCATATTCTCCTACTGCCATCCCATCGAGCCTGCTAATGATGCGATTTATTGGCCACATAACTTTGACTGTAGTTCATCTTGCCTCAGAGAATTATAACTACATGGGGCCTGTATGTTTTTGCTTGTACCTGTAATGTTGTTTAATAAATTTTGAAGTATCACGTGATTTAGTCCCTGCCAGGCATTGCAATGAATGGCCTTTCTGCCCTGATATAAAACGTAGGGATCTTGACTATTTCAGAGCAGTTTTTGTAGACAATACTACGTCCCACAAGTTGTGGACCACCGTACGTTCGATCTTTTGAACTACGCTCCTTATGAGTCACTGGGTCTGTGAACAGACTCCTTCTGGTCATCCCTAAATCGGAGGTTGAGGCAGCCGAGGAGACAGAGCCTTTGCTGTTGCAGCTTCCAAAGTTATGGAGACGAATTGGCCCTTCAGTTAAATTGCATCAATTTTCTGTCTGCCGGACTAGCCAATTGTCGTTTATATCGATCTTAACTCACCTCTTTTGTTCCTTCTCAATGTTCATCAGGAAGCGACACTTTTGCTGTATAAATGTGTGGGTTTTTATCTTACTTGTCTTTATGTTTTTTACTGTCATGTAGCTGAATTGAGTTTGTCTCATCTGTAGACCAATCTGGGTGGTACTAGATCTTATTGTCAGTCTGGTTTCTTGGTACTTTTGTTCAGCTTGTCTCTGTGTTGTATTTGTTCTATGTGTAATAGTTATGTTATTTATACAGTTGTTGATGTACATCATTCTGTTCAATCTGTTGTTTTTATGATGTTACCGATATACTAGTTGTTCAACTGTGATTATGATAATTAAAATTTTTGGAAGTATAGAATAGAAATGATGGATGTAACAAGAAACTTTTGGTTACTCTGTGTTTGGATGAGCTATTGTCACAAACACTTGTAGGATGTATAAATAGTGGTAAATGATGATAACAAATACAGAACTTATTGATACAGTGACATGTGACTAGAAACAACATTTAAGAACTGAACAAAGCATCAGTTAGTGTTAAAAATGTATTGAGATAAAATAATAACATCGATTATAGTATTTATAGTGGAAATAGAGTGGTAGTTAAATTAAAGTAGTAAATGTAATGAGCATTACAATTGTTACATACATTTAAAGACATTAGGATTTGCGAACCTTTTAGGAAGAGCTCCAAAGTAAACATATATATACAAATACAATTCACTCAACAGTTTTGATAAGCACATGGATTCATCGTGACAGAGCATCAGTTAGCATGTCACTATAACAGTGAATGACAGCATTATCATCTGGTCAGCAAAAAGATCACAAACAAATTAAGATCTACAGGTTCGATAGTATTATGATAATGCGGATACAGCCAAATGACAGTCTCTTCTGTTCCAGTGTAGAACGCATATACCGTCATTCATTCCGTTGGATCGCGAAATGGTCGTATGTTGCGCTGTATTTTAAGATCGAGGAGGCACATTGAGGTGAGGGAAGGGAGTCAGGAGGCTAGCTGCATTCTACTGGATCAGCCGTTAGTCAGCGTAACGCAGGCCAACCACTTCTTTCTGGATGAGCTCTGTGGGGTGGAAGGCATCCTCTCGCGGGCGTCTCTCTGTGAAGGTTACTAGTTCAGGTTCGGGTATGCTACTACTACTGAGGACTCACTACTACTGACGCAACTGGTACTACTACTACGAGTACTAATACTGATACTTCTAGGTTCTTCTCCATGTGAGACACTATAACTGCTCTGGTAGGTTCAACAACATTTAAAGAAGGTGTCCACCACCACAATCTATGCACAGGACTACAGGAGTTCTTCTACTATACGAGCAATGTCACTACATACTACTACTACTGTTGACTAACTATACTACTACTACTGATACACAGATACACACACAGCACTAACTATGACTACTACACACACTACTACAACACCATTACAACAGACACTACCAAACTACTACTACTAACTTAGACTACTAATACTAGTAGTACTTACAGTAAAAAATCGGCATCTGTTACCTGCAACTATTAACATCAATCAGCTATATCAGGACATTGAGGCATACATTTACAGTGGAGGAAACAAGTATTTAACCCCCTTCAGATTTTGTAAGTTTACCAACTTATTTTACAACTAAAGGTTCATTTTCAAATGAAGAGCAGGTTGTAACCGAGGCTCTGTGTAGTCAGAGAGTCTGAGTGCTGCTCCTCCTGGAATGAGTCAGAGTTTGATGAGCCCTCCCTCTTCTTCCTGCTCTCAGACACAGCCAGCTCCACTCTGTATTTCCTGGTTCCTCCCCTTCAGATCCACACTGAGGAGGAGGGGTGGTAACCAACATGTGGGTAAAGTACAAGAGCTGATAAGGCCACATTCAACTGCTCACACACATGCTGTTCAGATCACGTCACATAGTTTCAGTTCTCAGGAAGTGAAACTCACACACTCGCTGCTACTGAGAGGTGAAATGGCGCAGAAAAGGAGTTCAGCTGGACCGGGAAACCTTCTCTTGTTCGATCTGTCTGGATCTACTGAAGGATCCGGTGACTATTCCTGTGGACAGCAGCTTACTGCATGACTGTATTAAACAGCGCTTCTGGGACGGAGAGGATGAGAAAGCTAATCCACAGCTGCCCTCAGTGCAGGCAGAGCTTCACACCCGAGGCCTGTCCTGCTGAAAACACCATGTTAGCAGCTTTAGTGGAGGAGCTGAAGAAGACTGGACTCCAAGCTGCTCCTGCTGATCACTGCTATGCTGGAGCTGAAGATGTGGCCTGTGATGTCTGTACTGGGAGGAAACTGAGAGCCTGTAAGTCCTGTCTCGTGTGTCTGATCTCTTACTGTGAGAAACACCTCCAGCCTCATTATGAATAGCATGCCTTTAAAAAACACAAGCTGGTGGAGCCCTCCAAGAAGCTCCAGGAGAACATCTGCTCTCGTCACGACGAGGTGATGAAGCTGTTCTGCCGCACTGATCAGCAGAGTATCTGTTCTCTCTGCTCTGTGGACAAACACAAAGGCCACGACACGGTGTCAGCTGCAGCAGAGAGGACTGAGAGGCAGAGAGAGCTGGAGGGGAGTCGACTAAACATCCAGCAGAGAATCCAGGATGGAGAGAAGGAGCTGAAGCTGCTTCAGCAGGAGGTGGAGGCCGTCAATGGATCTGCTGAGAAAGCAGTGGAGGACAGTGAGAAGATGTTCACTGAGCTGATCCGTCTCATGGGGAAAAGAAGCTCTGATGTGAAGCAGCAGCTCAGATCCCAGCAGGAGAGAGAAGTGAGTGGAGTCAGAGAGCTCCAGGAGAAGCTGGAGCAGGAGATCTCTGAGCTGAAGAGGAGAGACGCTGAGCTGAAGCTGCTGTCTCACACAGAGGATCACAACCACTTTCTGCTCAGCTACCCCTCCTCACTGCCAGCCCTCAGTGAAGCTACACACTCCTCCAGCATCAACATCCGTCCTCTGAGATACTTTGAGGACGTGACGGCGGCCCTGTCAGCAGTCAGAGACAAACTACAGGACGTCCTGAGAGAGGAATGGACAAACGTCTCACCGACTGAAGTGGATGTTTTACTGCCAGCAGCAGAGCCCACTACCAGAGCTGGGTTCTTAACATATTCACAGGAGATCACTCTGGATCCAAACACAGCACACACACAGCTGCTATTATCTGAGGGGAGCAGAAAAGCAACATACATGGAACATCAGTCTTATTCTAGTCACCCAGACAGATTCACTGTATGGCCTCAGGTCCTGAGTAGAGAGAGTCTGACTGGACGTTGTTACTGGGAGGTGGAGTGGAGAGGGGGAGGAGTTTCTGTAGCAGTCTCATACAAGAATATCAGCAGAGCAGGGGAGGAAAGCATATTTGGATACAATGACAAATCTTGGTCCTTAGTTTGTAACCAAATCAGTAATTCATTTAGTTACAACAGAATCAAAACTCCCGTCTCAGGTCCTCTGTCCTCCAGAGTAGGAGTGTACCTGGATCACAGAGCAGGTGTTCTGTCCTTCTACAGCNTATTTGGAAACAATGACAAATCTTGGTCCTTAGAGTGTAACAAAAACAGTTATTCATTTAGTTACAACAGAATCAAAACTCCCGTCTCAGGTCCTCTGTCCTCCAGAGTAGGAGTGTACCTGGATCACAGAGCAGGTGTTCTGTCCTTCTACAGCGTCTCTGAAACCATGACTCTCCTCCACAGAGTCCAGACCACATTCACTCAGCCGCTGCATGCTGGACTTTGGATTTATGGTTATGATTATGGAGCCACAGCTGAGTTTTGTAAACTCAAATAGCCTGAAGTCATTGGAGGAACTCTTCTTCTTCTTAAACTCACCGTGTGTCCATCAGAGCTGATTGTCCATGTCTTCACTGCAGAGATCAGCTGTCAATCAAACATGATGGGCGGGGCTTCAACATTTCCTCATGAGTTGTTCTGTAGATGTTGGACTTTCTTCCGGCTCCTTCCTGTGTCTGGTTAGCCATGGAGGCTGCTCAGGAGGATCCTTGTTCACCTGAACTGATTTGTAAACTTTGCTCTAAATATGTGTTGGATATTTCTTTTGATTCTTCTTGTTGTTTCTCTTGTAGTGCACGAGTCTTCAGAGAGAAAGCAGCAGAGCTTCTTTTATTCTACACATTTTATTCTGGTTCTAAAACAATAGAGACATTTATAATCACATGTATTCTTTTTGACAGATTCAATGTTATTGTTGCTGAATTAACTAAAAAATGAGTTCCCAGATGGTTATAACACTTATTTCATCATCACATGTTTATTTAAAATGATATTACTTTCTGTCATGATCATAATCAATAAGTACATCATTCATTATTCTCCTGTCAATAGCTTAGAGTCTTTACTTGGGAAATAAATTGTATAATATTACAGTTATTGTTTTGCAGACTAGTTGTTGTTGTTGTTGTTGTTGTTGTTGTTGTTGTTGTTGTTATCCAAATAGAAAGTGGGTACTCTGATGTTTTATAGAACATTAATTATCATGATAATAATCAATAAGTAAATCATGTCTGATTCTGTTTGAAATAGCTGAGATGAAACACATTCATGGTGTGGAGAAAGAGAAACTGATCATGAAATCATTGAACAGACTTTACTGATGGGATGTGTGATTAAATGAAATGTTTGGATCATTAATAAAGGTTTGTCTTTCAAAAACAAAAACAGGATGTTCTTCTTGTGTTATGTCCAAGGTGCCATACGAAGCTGATGGAGAACATGTGGAAGTGATCTGAGACTAAATGAAGCTCAGCGCAAGTTCAACCAGGAAGACCGTCTTTACTCATTCATTTACTATTTCCATGTTACTACTCTCCCTCCTCTCAATAAGTGATCGGGCTCTCCCCAGCTTAACCAATCAATTCGCTCTATTCCCAAGAGCCTATCATAGCGCTCTGCTAACCCTTTTTAAATCTGCTCTCCCCCCTCTGACAGCGGTCATTTCAGGTGACTCAACGCAACCCCCCTCCACACCTTTTCACCTCCTGTCCCTCTGAATCCAGGGTCAAGCTCCTCCCCTTCAGACCGACCCCAACTATCCATTCACCACCACCAGGGTCAAGCTAAGCCCCTCCCCTTCAGACCGACCCAACTATCCATTCACCACCACTAGGGTCAAGCTAAGCCACTCCCCTTCACTATTCATTCACCACCACCAGGGTCAAGCTAAGCCCCTCCCCTTCATACCGATCCAACCAACCATTCACCACCACCAGGGTCAAGCTAAGCCCCTCCCCTTCAGACCGACCCCAACTATCCATTCACCACCACCAGGGTCAAGCTAAGCCCCTCCCCTTCAGACCGACCCCAACTATCCATTCACCACCACCAGGGTCAAGCTAAGCCCCTCCCCTTCAGACCGACCCCAACTATCCATTCACCACCATCAGGGTCAAGCTAAGCCCCTCCCCTTCAGACTGACCCAACCATCCATTCACCACCACCGGGGTCAAGCTAAGCCACTCTCCTTCAGACAGACCCCAATTCACCACCACCAGTGTCAAGACCCCGGGGGGTTTCATCGGATCGGAGTTTTCCCCTCCCGAATGATACTCCCGCACAACGGGGCCTAATCGCCAAAACTCCATTACATTCATTTGTGTATTCCTGGCAATAAATATGTAAAAAACCGCCGGGTCCCGCATAGGCTGAGCCCCCTCCTTTTTTTTAATCAATTTTTATTTTGTAAAGCTTTATACCCCAAATCAGCACTTTTGAAACAGGAAGTGAAATAGAGGGATTTGAGGCATGGCTAGAATGGGTGATCATAGACATGTTTTTTATATATTTTTATATATCTGAGACCTATGCTATTGCCTAATAGCATGATTGGTGACCTTTAAAGAAAAGCAAACTATGGGTCAGATTTTAACTGATTGTAGTGTTGGCTTTGGACTACAAAATAAAACAAATAAAGTACATGTAGATGGTGTAGTTATAAATGGATTGCAAGTTAGCAATGAGGTAAAAGACTATATTGGGTTTAATAAAAAGTGGGTTCTTTGAAGCAAAGTTGGCATTTTCTTGCACGAGAAGACGTTTTTTAAAAAGGCACTTTATGTTCAGGGTAGATAATGATCTTTTTTCATAATGAAAAAAAGGTAGATTCTCCTTTTTATCACAATACGAGAGTTAATGCTTTATACAAATCTGGAAAACAAATGATTTTGTATTTTGCATCACACATTTTAGATTTATCTGCAGACTTTCTATCATTTCTCTATCCGATATCCTCTCAAACATTTCAATTTTTGTTGGAAAATAGTATTTATTTTGTCATACATGATTACAAAAGTACTTCAAAATGTTTCATATATATCTGGGGAACATTTCAAAGACTCCAGGAATGGTTGTATTGTATATTTCCAGCAAAAATGAATCTTATTTTATATCCAAAATCCTTCATAATAATCGAGTTTTGGGCGGATAAATATGTTAGTTTGTCCTCAGGAATACTTCTTTGGTTGATTTCAGAGACTGCATTAGTACGCTGCGGCTCTCCTTCAGCTGGTGGTTGTAGTTGTTGTAGTTCAACTATGGGGAACATAGGAATGATCCCAGCTAAATCCTTACATAAGTTATCATATAAGCAGATTGTCTCCATGAATGACCACAGAAAGGGAGTATTGTAGATATTTGGCAAAATGTGTATTGTTTATCCGTTATCCTCCCAGACAATGTAATAGAGGGTGGCAAATTATCACTCAGGGTATATGCAGGAATCCTGAAGTCAGATGTAATTCTTTTTAAGACCTTTTTTAAGACCCTTTCCAAACATTTTAAGACCTCATCGCTACTTGGAGTTCTAACGGGTTACCTTGGCGACGCACTTTACCTCACATTGACTATATACAGTATTGATTGTCCTTCCTCCTTATCTTCCAACCATTTGGACGCAGACTTGCATTTCCCCATAACAATGTTGCTTAGCAACCGGCGTAAACGGACCTTCGCGCGCTATCCAGCAGTGAGCGTGCGATGTCCTGTTCAGATGACGTCAAATCCAACGGGATGCCATAAATAAACTACACAGAATCACACTACACACCTACGCAATGATTACATTCAGGCAGACTGTAGAATACAACCTCTTTGGACCATTTATAGACTTATTGAAAACAAGCTACAAAATGTAATACCTTGGAAAATGCCGTTTCATACTTTTTAATAGCCTTCATTTTCGCTAAATAGATTTATCAACTTTTAATACTTTTTAAGACCCCGCGGACACCCTGTCACTTTTTATTGATTAAAAAGCCTTTCTAGCTCAATTAAGATCAATCTTTAATTATTTTCTGTATAAATATTTGAAATATAAATGACCATAATAATAATAATAATAATAATAATAATGGGTTTCATTTATAAAGCACTTCATATTTGATTTCAAACCCCGAAGTGCTACAAGCAGTGAGCATGAACAGTATAATAAACATTACACAGCAGATCGCAGGTAGAATTAATAAAAAGCAAGAGAAAACATATATGTAGATTTTCAGGAAAACTTCAATATTCTATCCAATTTCACCACGAACGATTCAATTCTTGGTGGCAAATTGTCTATTTTCGACATAAATGATTAACAAAATACTGCTTTATATAAATGTGGAACATATTGAAGACTTGAGGAAGGTTTGTACAGTGCATTTCCAGCCAAACTTAACATTTGTATCTGATATCCTTCATAACAATTTCCTTCAGGTTGTTTTCCCTCTTCATCATCACTTCTTCGGCTGCCTCAGAGACTGCAGGAGGAGCCGACTGAACTTCCTGACGTCACACTTAGTGAGCACGGTGACGCTGTGGCTCTTCTTCAGCTGATTGGTGCGATCCAGCGCCATCATGCCTCGGCACAGCGCCCCCTGCAGCTCCACCCTGACGGGGCACTCGATGCTCTGCAGCACCACGTCGGGGTCGATGCAGGCCGCCATGGCGTACGCATCGTAGGAGACGTACCCCGGGCCGAAGTACACGTCCCTCTTGTTCTTCATCGCCTCTTTGGAGTACGCCCGACACTTGGAAGTGATCGTCTTCATGAAGGCCGCAGCCGGAGCGTCCTGGTTTATCAGCTCCTCAAAGAACTCCTAAACAAATGAAATACATTCAATCAGTTAAAGTTTTTTAAATAACAGGCCCCAGCATGGCCGCCCCATTCTGTTACCGCCACTGCTGTGATGTATTCTGATTTGTTATCTTTTTCAGGATGTGGAGGAAATTCTTAAGAGAAACTGATAAATGATTCATGGACAAATGTTGTCTTTTGTTATATTTAAAGGTCACCTATCATGCTATCTTTAGGCAATAGCATAGGTCTCAGATATATACAAATATATAAAAAACATGTCTATGAAGTGTTTTGCTCAAAATACCAAACAGATCACCCATTCTAGCCAAGCCTCATATCCCTCTATTTCACTTCCTGTTTCATAAGTGCTGATTTGGGGTATAAAGGTTTATTTTTATTTTTTTTAAAGGAGGGGTCTGAGCTCATGCGGGACCCGGCAGCTACTGTCTAAATTAAATACTGCCGTGATGAAACGCCATATCATGGATTATTTCTGAAACAGTATGGAGCTCAAAGGCTTTCTCTCTTGCCGGTTATACCACAAGGTGAGTTCCTTTTTATTTCCTGCTTCTTCACACACATGCTCTCCAGTACAGGTTAGCTCTGAGTGTTAGCGATGCTAATGTAAACACCGACCATATTACGTCCAAAACAGTCGGGCATTGTTTCTGATAGCAACGTTTCTGATAGGGCCGTGGGTCCACATTTCAGATATTACGTCATATCGGACGCAAATCTGGATCAGCTCCGTTGTTCCCCCGTTTTTAGAGATTTGGGTACGGAGGAAAAGAGAGAGGGTTTTAATTTCTGACGCTGCGTGAGTTCCCCGACACACCGGGGACAAATGTTTATGTAAAAAAGACATCAAAAAGTGCATTTTGCATGATAGGTCCCCTTTAAGTCTCAGTATTTAATCATTTTAGATATTTAACTTTACGTTAAATATTCATGTTTATATATTTATTTTGTATTTATTTATTAGGTTTCAGTATTTATATATAAGATGTATTTATTGATATAGTGTCTCGGTTAAGTGATGTATGAACGGCCATAATGTTTAAATATTTTACATAGATTTTCATTTAGTTCTCATTTGTTTTTTAACCAAACAAAATGGTATCAGTGTGCTTTTATTCATTTGTTAAGGAGTTCCATTGATACTTTTTCACCGCTTATTGTCCTGTTTGCTTCAGTTTCATCCTAACTAACTCTGCTGAGGGTCTTCCCAACATCTCACCCAGGTCAGAGAGTTCCTGCAGGCGTATTCCCACGAGGCGATGTACGTGGTGCAGAGGAACTCCTCCAGAACAATATAGGCCGACTCTGGATCCATAGCAAAGTTAAACTCTGCACATAGCGTCAAGTTTCCTTTTCCTGCAGAGACGAAAATCTGAGTTATACAAGTGTACGTATTTCATAATAAGAGCCTGTAATGTACTGTGTGTGTTTTACCCTCCATGTTGCCTCCCATGATGAACAGGTCTTTGAGCTTTTGGGGGAAACTTTGATCCAATCTGACGGCTAGAGCGAGGTTAGTGAGCGGGCCGAGAGCCACCAGGGAGATCTGAGGGGGAAGGGTTTAGAGGTAACACACTTAGAAATAGTTAGCTGTAAAATAATCGGTGAAATAATCCGATCATCAAAATATGAAAAAGTAACCCGATTACCGCTACCTCAATATCAAATGTGAATCATCACAAGGAAAAATAAATATCAATAAGACGTTTGTTATTTAAGTTTTATTATCTATATTAAGAAGAAACCAAGATATTTAGCATCATGAAATAGATTTTATTTATAAGTAAACCTGCCTGTCATGAAGCATATTCAGGCAGTAGCCTCTACACAATGAAACACATGATACTACAGTTTAAAAAAGCAGATATCAAATCTGAGCTGACAGAAAATGCTCAGTTTTAGTTTAACAAACATAGTTAAGCTCACACACACTATTTTATGAACATATAGGTTCACCTGCTGAATTATAAAACAGGACAAATGAACCAAAGAAAGTGAAAACCAACACTTAACCCTTCAATGCTTTCTGTATCCTGGGGGAAACAGACATTTGACAGGCTGTGTCCAGGTGGAAAATGGGTTTAACATGGGTCTGATAATAGTTTAATATGGGTATGATATGAGTGTAATACAGGTGTGATAATGTCTTACATTAACATGGACTTAATTGGGGTTGTAACGGAGGTGATCTCTGGGGCCATAGATCTCGGCCTCCGTTACGGATTGCGTAGCTTCGTTGGTGGCGAAGTGTATGTAGTTTGTGCATCTGTCTGTGTTTTTAGTTTGTCCGTCTCTGTTTGCTGGTTTTGTTTTGAAAAGTGTTCCCCTTCCCCATGTCTGTTCCTGTTGATTGTGTGCACCTGGTGCCCTGTGTTGTCTCCTCCCCCCTCACCTGTGTCCTGTTGCTGATTAGGGTGAGTGTATATTTAGGCTCTGTTTCTCTGTCTGTTGGGAGGCTGGTAGTGTGGTGCAAAATTCCTATGGTTGGTGACGGTGTGCACATGTTCAGCTGGATTGAGGCTGTGAATGATGTGTTTGATTTAATAAATGCCCACACCGGGTTATATTTTTGGACGTTCTGCCTCTGCCTCCTCGCTTGGTCTGGGCCGCTCAATTGTCAGCTTCACAGGGGTGTATAACAGTGTAATAATGGTGTAATATGGGTCTGATAACAGTAGTGTAATATGGGTGTAATGTGGGTATAATACGAGTGTTATACAGGTGTATTAATGGTGTAACACAGACTTCATTGGGGTGTAGAACAGTGTAATATAGGTGTAATATGGGTCTATTAACAGTGTAATAACAGTAGGTCTGATAACAGTAGTGTAATATGGGTATAATATGAGTGTAATACGGGTGTATTAATGGTGTAACATGGATTTAATTGGAGTGTATAACAGTGTAATATGGGTCTGATAACAGTAGTGTAATATGGGTGTAATGTGGGTGTTATAACTGTAATATTGGTGTATTCTAGAAAATAGCAATCAATTGATTTTCAGAAATATTTACATGTGATTGCCCATTTAAGGTTTGAAGCATTAGCCTACAGAAAATTACAGCTTGGAAGGAAGAAATGAAATCTGATCCTTTTACAACAAACACTATATGCTCTTTGTAGTTCTTTACTAACATTGTAATCCTGCTAGTAATCCCCAAACTGTCTTTCTACGTAATCCCGTTACTCCCCAATCCTGCAAAAGAACGTGTTTTCCTCACCTGCTTCTGGTTCTCATTCACCAGTCGGATCATGGCGTTGACTGCATGCTCGCTCTGGATCTTCTCCTCCCAGCGAGGGTCTTTGACTTTGATCACGTCTCCGAGTCCATCCGTCCCAAAGTGGTCACTGACGGGGTTAATGGCTCCGACCAGAGGACCTGAAGACCCTCGAAACACAGGAATCTGCAGGAGAACAGAGGTTTCTTTGGAGTAAAAACCAACCTAATTTCCTGAAGATGGAAAGGATTAGGTTTTCTCTAAGTGGCTTCTCAAATGAATGTGGTAAAATATGGGGCCCTTTTTTTCAAACTGGACGGGTTGTCTCGGGGAGGAGGTGCAGCCGAACTGACATGTATTGTTTATTATTGACATTTTTGTTTTAGCTGACTGGTTTTCTATTTATTTAGTTTGTTTGTGTGTTTGTGTTCTGTCTGTGAGGGATGTTGTTTGCTCTGGTGTAAGGCAGTATTTACATTGTTACTCTACCTATTTATCTATAAAGTGAAGATTTGTTTACCTACTTTGATACATGCTCTGATAGAACAACTGTATGCTGTTGAACATTTTTACTTTTCTTACAGAATACTAAAGTATAAACCCCTCTGTTCACTTACTGGGAATTCTTTACACTGCTTGGTGCTCCAGTGACTCCTAAAGTAAGTTCTAGATCAAGTGTCTAATGGCGCATTTCCACTGCAGGGCCTCGCACGGCTTAGTACGGTATAGTTAGGCCTTGGTAGGCCAGGCTCACTTTATGCTGCGTTTCCATTACAGTTTAGGAACTGGGGTAGTAACTATAGTAACGCAGTGTAGGCGGAGCCGTGACATAATTTTGTTCTCTACCGTCCACCAGGCGCCTTGGGGGACTTCTTGGAGGAGTTAGATAATCTCCTCTCACACATCCCTGAAACTGGCCCTCCCGCTGTACTTCTCGGAGACTTCAACCTCCAGACAGGGAAGATAGACGAACTAACATCTCTGTTAACCACCTTTGCTTTCTCACTGTCTCCATCCCCACCAACTCATAACGCTGGCAATGTCCTTGATCTCA